GGGAGGGAGGGAGGGAGGGAGGGGAAAAGGCAAAAACACCACATAATGTGGGTCAGCACGTACTCTTCAAGTCGAGAAAACATGAGGGCGGGCTTGTAACCCGATCGCCCCATGCAAGAACAGCCAAGAGCAAGTTTCAGCGGCAAAGAAACTGAGACTCCATCGGCTCCATCTGCACGACAATGTTTGCGCGCAGATGCGCTAAGCCGTCTCAGCTTGGCTGCTGCGATTTTGTGTTGTGCCACTGACTGCTGCAGTCAAGCTGCCTGTTTGGGCATGGTACCGATCACGGTGCTCGTGGATGAAACCTGGCTGTCAAGCACTATAAGCAGCGCATGAGATAGGTAACGAAGAAAGACATCTAGGCCTCTAGGCCTTCGGTACACTCATCAGGAAAACAGAAAAGGGAGGCATCACCCACTGAGATCACGAAAAGCTGTTGAAGTCCTATTCGCCCTAGCCCCTTGCTCGAGTGTCACGTCGTGGGGCCCTGCATTTCCACGACGTTTCTTCGATGATCCGCCTACTCGCACAGATACAGACAGACTGAACCAGACGAGACAAACAAACCAACGTGGGACAAAGAACAGACGGGCGGACGGAGACGTGGGCAAACGCACACAGACCCCCAACAAACGAACGGGTGCGGACAGACAGGCTATGAATGACGGGCAAGCAGACGAAGGGACTATGTCTGCACGGTTCTTTTTTCAATCCTTCCTGCTCTGTCGGAAACATCTTGAGTTGCCAGATGCCATTCGTCTACATAGACATGTCCTGTTTCCCCCGAGCCTCCAGTTTCGATGTAGGAGCACACTCGTCCAAGCGTTGGATCTAACTGCCTTGCAAGATGGAGGCCATCACGGTCACACTAGGACAGAGCCATCTCGAAACACTTGTATAGCCATCTGGCTCTGGCTCTGGGTGAGAAGCCTTCCATGTAGTCCTGCCACAGCATCTTCCAGGCGTTCCGTCAGTTCCTGTCAGAGCTCTACGGACTCCAGGTCTAGTGCTTGTAAGCACTTGGCTGTTCGACGACTCATACGACAGCGCTGCGCTCAGCGGTACAGTCAATCATTTCGTGCTTGACCTCTCTGGGATACACTTATGAGTCAGTTATGAACGTTGTCAACGTCCATGCGTTGCACACAGAACTCGTCTCAAGGAGACAAGATTCCGAAGAAGGTTTCGTCATGAAAGAGAACCTCATGACTGTGTGAAGCGTCAAGAAGCTACTGGACACTGTCAGCCCGCAGAAAAACTTAAAGGGACCTAAAAGGAGAATGTGCATGCGTGATAGAGGTTCCAGGTGAAAGAAACTGGAATGGCTTCGTGCAAGCTTGAACTGTTCAGCGGATGCCATGACACGAGAGATATCGAAGTGGAAAACTGATAGGGCATTGAACCATCTGAATGCTTGTTCCACATCGGGAATGAAACTTCTGACGGTGCCTGTGTCCGCTCAATCCTGCAATCCCTGCCTCCCAAAGACGGCTGTGTGTGTGTGTGTGCAAGTCCTCCAAGAAAGAGTCCACTCCACCAGTCGCATCCAGTCGCCGAAAAAAGCGATGCGGTCCTGCAACAACGACTCGAAGCACCAGAGAATGGCTTCTGTGTAGAGCGCTGAAGGAACCTGCTGGATTTGGCAGCAGGAGACCCTGCCTCCATGCTGCAGTGACTCAGTGCTCGCAGATGCTTGCAGTGTGTTTTCCCGGTCTGTCAAGCTAGACGTCGCGGCCTCTTCTGTCTCTCAGCAGATTCAAGAAGATTGAGGCGCTCCTCCTGTGAACAGCCACCGCAAGCCGCAAGCTTATCCATAGGCCAGGCGGTCTTAGGCTTCCTCATTGAGCCACGTAGACTAGGAGAAGATGCAAAGACAACCCAGATTACGATTACGGCATCACACCTTGCCTCACTGATGATGCCCCGGAGTAGAAGCCAGGGGCCTGATGCTTCCTGTTGCCTGGGATGTGAAAGCAATCACAATGCGAGCGTGGTTGAGAATCTCAGGTTGCATGCTGCGTGATGAAGCAAAGCCAAGCCTTCGCAGTGACGAAGGCACAACGACGCCCCTGCATACATTGAGGTTTCAGCAACAGGTGCGACGGAACTGCAAATCACCTGAAATGACACTTCGGCCGTGTTGGCCACGAGGTTCTTCGGCGGCTGATAGAAACAGCATGTGAACACGTCGTCGAATGGGCGCATCTTCCTCCAGCTTCCAGGGTCCAGAGCGCAACAGAACAACACGACCGCCGGACGACCGCCATCGCTGTCCTTGCTCCGGAAGCGACGACATGCCTAGATGAGCGAGCTCACCTCATTCTATGACTGATTTCCTGTTTCCTCACAATGAATCCATGGATAACAGAAAAACGTCGATGATGATTGGGACTGCTGTCTGCTCAAATCTGCTTAAGAACAACGGCTGCAGGGCAGCATCTTGCAGATGTTGATGAGTGACCCTGCCGGCTCCAAGAGAGCAAAGCGGCTTCAAGTCTGCATCCCTTTCCATCGACATGTCAGACTTCGAGTACGGCATAATGCGCCCGGTCACTAGCAGTGACTTGCACAGCCACCACGATGTCCGTGTCCTCGCGTGCCATGAACGTTCTCCTCGACCGCGTGCAGGAGAGCACGAAGCGGCGCCAGCTGTCCAAGGTGTACAGGCGGTGGCAGCCACACAGGTTTGCATCAAGACTTCGCAGCTTGGCTCTGCAACTTCATCTTTTGCATGTGCACATTCAGAGCTGTTCTGGCGACCTGACAGCATGAGCTCTTGAACGCCTAGCCACATGCATCCTGCGGCGCGTCGATTCAACAGGGAGCAATGCAAAGCACCTCAACAGCTTGCGCATCCAGGGCGGGCAATGCGTTGACGAAAAGACGTGCTGCACCACCTTGCAAGGACAGTTGCGCCAGAAGTGATCATTTGCGATTCTGAGAACACCTCGTTCCAGCCCACTCTGCTTCAAGCTTCGCCGGAGGGTGGCGTTGCGCCCTTCGACCTGGATCAACTCGAGGTCTTGAATCTTTCAGTCTGGCAAACTGGCACAGCCCCAACTTTAAATCATAGGGACACTGAGGTGGGTAAGGGGGCGGGTAGAAGACCATACTTCCTTAAATAGTCCTTATTACAGGGATTAATTAAGGCCCTCTACCCCCCTCCCCCTACCCCCGTAAGGGTCCTTATGATTAAATCAGCGTCGAGGCATGGCTACGACTCTATGGCATCATGTCCTTGTCCTTTGCTGTGCCTGTGTACTGACCACAAGGAAGGAGGATGAGGCTTTACAAGATGACGGCTTTGTTCATATGGTGGAAGAGTGGGAAGAAGCCTCGCATTCGAGACCATGTCCGGTGGCCCTTGCCTTGTCGGTTAGTACCAAGAATGCAAACAAGAATGCTCAGCTGTTGGCCCGGGAGTCTACAACAGGAGGTGAAAAAGTGGAAACGCGAACTCGAAATAAGTTTCTTATGCCGTACCCCCTGCCTCTTTCGCAGCAGCTTCACATCGCGCCTCCGACTCACGAAAAAGCATGGGTGCTTAAACTCAACGCCGTCAGGCCATCCTCTCACATACAAGGTTCACGACAGAAGCTTAACAACGCCAATCCCTTCAGAAGTCTTTCGCTGATGCTGTCCTCCACCTTGACTGGACGAGGAAGCAAAGGATGCAAGCAAGCATTCTTGCTTATGCCTCTGGTATCCTCTGGTTTTATTTTGGCTGTGTTGCCTTTTGCGAATACAGCCGGTACTCAATACTGACCTTCCCTCCTCATCACTCCTCGGTGCTGCCATGACGACGCAGTCCGGCCTGCTCTCGTGCAAGCTCTGCTAGCTCGCGCTCTGCCCTGGAAAGAGCGACAACCTGTAAAGACTGAGACTGAGAGCCAGTGCGACCGTCACACAGCAAGAGCTCAGTGAGAAACTGAAGCCTCACTTCGAACTTCAGTCGGCACTTCAGCCACCTTCGCGATATCGCTGCTAGCTACTAGTTCGTGCGTCTTCCAACAAGCCATCACAAGCCGCCTTTACAGAGCTTGTCAATTCCGTGGCCTCGCCGGCCAAACAGCGATGCGTTGTGATCATCATGCTCGTAGGCAACCGGTTATCTCAAGTAAGCAAATGTCACGAACAACTGCTCTGCGCCTCTTCTCGGTTTTGTCTCTGCTCCTGTATCTCTGCCTGGCAGCAGGCACGAGTGTGTTGCTTGCCAGCCTTCCCGCTCTGTCACGCTTTCCTCCAGGTTCATGACTTCCCTCTTCCAGAACTCAACCTCCGGCGCCAAGCAACATGCCAACGGTCATCAGATCACCAGACTCATCTCTGACTTGACTAGACATCTGATGAAAGATGGAATAGAAGAGTCGTGGATAGAGGGCACCTCCTCCTGCCAACATTCTCGCATCTCTCCAGTTTCAAGCTCCGCCCGCGCCATCCTGCAACAGACATGAGTTTCCAAACAAGCAAGAAGACACGCCTTCTGCTACCACGGCCTGAGATCCCGAGAGAGCTTGATGTTTTCCTCCAGCACCTGGTTCAGGTTGACTCGTCGCATCACATGTTGGTTTGACGGTCACACGGACCTTTCACTTTACCGAGGCCTGCCAGTGATTACGACTGGTAGCGTGAAGAAGCTGCCTGTCAACCTGCTAAACGCTTCGGTTTGAACAATGAACAATCACGAAAAAGTGAAAGCTTCAGTCACATGCGGCTGAAGCGTGCTGTGTTTCTTCAGCCTGAGATTGAAGTTCCGTGAGGGTTGGAAACGCTGGGCGGAGGCTTGTCTCGCCGTGCCTCAGCTCGAGCGCATGTGCATCGAGGAACTCCGAGGAACATGCCTCTTTCTTCCGTGGGCTGAGCATGCAGCGGGGACGGCACCGTGTCTTGGACAGCCTCTGAGACAGCATCTTCTTCCTCTTGCACAGTCTCAAGTTTCAAGCGCGTCAAGCGGACCAGTCTGGCAAGTGCCCTTCATGTGGCTGTCACTTGGCCCTGTCCTTCTTGAGGCTCTCAGTCTCAAGGTCTCCGTTCTGCGTGCTCTCTCGATTTGCGGTCTGGCTCTTGCCTTCGCTGGCCTTGCTGGCCTTGGCCTTTGACGCAAGCTTTGGCACCCAGCCTTGGATGCTCTGCACCAGCTTTCAGATTCTTGCATACAAGAGGTGAGAAGTCTCTGCATGTCAACCAATCCTCGTGACAGAGGGTGCCCCAGCAGTCGAAACAACATTCTCCTACTAAGTAATCTAAATGAAATGCCCCACCACTCCTACACAAACTCCGCATAATGCCAGCAAAGGAGCTGCTAGGCATGAAAAGGTCCTTCAGCATGTCGGCAGACTGCTAGCCAGTGCATGATCGTTCCGATGTCACAACAAGACTTCCGATTGACATCTCTTACAATCCGAACTGGCTAGCACTGCGCATTGTCTTGTCTGACCAGACATGCGACACATGTTGTCAAGCCCTTGTCAGTTTGCTTATGGCAGTCCTTGCTTCCGCCTCCTTCAGGAACATGTGTTTCCGCTGGGCGGGCTGACCTGCAGTCTGTCTGCACACATCGGAGTATGTTGCGAAACATTCGTCCGAGGCAAAGACATTACCTATTCTGCATCCTGTGTTGCTTGACTTGGTCCGACAGCTGCGGGAAGATGAGCCGTGCAAAACACAGTACCGTTACCATCACAAGACTGCCGTCGTAATCCACGCAGCGTTGCAGGGTTGCCTTTCTCCCTCGGTACAGCCCTTGGAGAAGCCCGAGCTTCCGAGAACAGTGTCCAGCTCCGCACTCATCGGTATGACTTCTGGAAGCGAGCACGTGCAGAGCGTCCTGCCCAGGTTTCAACTTGTGAATCGAAGGCACACTCCATTGACTGCACTTGTTGCCTCCAAACTTCTTGGGCTCGCAGCGGCGAGGATCTGCCACGATCAAGGAGCGATCGTAAGCCATCAGTATGTCCTCGTTCGACAACAAACCCAAGCAAATGTGGGAAGGGCAGGGAAGGGAAGGGCAGGGCANNTTAGTGTTTAGGGTTTAGGGTTCCCAGGCTCAGATAGGCTCAGGTTTTTTTCTCGGCCCTCGTCCTTGATTTCTTTCTTGGATGCCTCATCGATGTACTTCTGGTAATATGCAACGATGCCCTTTGCTACAGCCTGGCCGAAATCAAGACGTCGAAGAAAATGCCTGTGTCTCCTCTCTGGCCTGACGGAGGGCGTAGATTTGGCCAGTGAAACCGCCTCCTTTGACTCGTAATCGGATATCCACCTTGATCGCTTGAGCGGAGCTGTTCAAACCTTCACAAGCCAGAATGCGCTGCTGGCCTTGCTGCAACGATCCTTCCCCAAGAGCAACAAAGGTTCGTAGACCTGTCAGCTTACGGACGTCATAATGATCCATCTGTGATCAGGACACGTGCCTTGACTCGCAGAATGTCAGGCTTTACTGTGTGCAACGGGCAGCCATTGAGCCGAACCTGTACCGGTCAATGTTCCAAGTACCTCCCAACCCTGGGGGCCTGGGGCCGGGCATGGCAGCATGGCCTGACCGCTGCCCGTGCGAACCAATGCAACGGCCACGGCCGTCTTCTTGCGGCCGAAGCACTGCGAAGGGCGCGAAGATTCAGTACCCTTGCCGCACCTCAACGAGACATCCCTGCTGCCTGGACCTTCTCTTGTTTGCCAGTCGGAGCTTGAGCGGCCTCACAAGACAGGATCAAGCACTTGTGCCAAAACGATTACGCTACAAGGTGATCGCCACGCCGTGCCTCCTCCATTGTTTAGGGGCTGGTAAAGGGTCAAACAGAGCCGCTACGGCAACAGTGTTTGTGGCAATGTTCATGTGTCTGCAAAAAGCTCCTTGAAGAACGGAAAACGAACGCTTCTTGTTTGTTTGATGCCATGCGAACCGCAAGGAGGACAGCTCTTTCATACGCAAACTATGAAACTCTTCAAAAACACTGGGTTTTTCAGGGTTGATTTTGTTTTCGGGTTGCGTTCTTTGGGGTTTAGGAAAAGAAAGGTTGAAGCACGATCAAGCACGAGAATTCCGCAGACCCGTGAAGCCTGTAGTTCTGACTACCTTAGTTTCCTTAG